GCAGGAATGTTGCCTAGATATCTTCAAGCACCATCAGGGGTGTAAAAATCAGTAAATAAATTTTAAAAGCTATTTTTTGAGCTTTTACACTGTGCAGGGCACTGTGTTTCTTGCAAATTAAAACCACTGCATTCAAAATAGCTCTCTGTGTTTCTTGCAAATTAAAACTGGATACATTCCTTAAAAGAGCTCTCGGGACACCTCCAAGGTCTTTCTGGGAGCTGAGAGTAAATGTGAGCCGGGAACTGAGTTGTACCGAGCAACTTTTAAGGGGCAGCCGCTGAATAAGGTGCCTTGTATTCCTGTTCATTGATTCCTAACAGCTACGCCATTAGACAGTCTTCCTTTTCCTCATTCTGTGGGTTATGATTGTGGCTCCCTGTGACTGGTAAGTCCTGCTCATCGTCAGGCCTTCTCTGAGATCCCAATTCACGTTACAGCCCCCTTTACTGATCTCGCCAGCACTTTTGTACTGTGTGTGTATGTTCATATACGCCATTAGGAACTGTCTAATATTTGTCTCCCTTTAAGACAGTAAACATAACAAATTCTTTTGCTCACCACTTGCTCCTCAGCATGTGACACATAGTAGGTGCTCATACACGTTTGCTGAATGAGTGCCTAGACTGGGCCATTTAGGAGAGTGGAGTAGGTCTTTTTTTTAATTGATTAATTAATTTTTTGGGCTGCACCCCACTGCATGCAGCAGCGGTCCCCAACCTTTTTGGCACCAGGGACCAGTTTCGTGGAAGACAATTTTTCCACGGACCGGGGGTGGGGTGGGGGGATGGTTTTGGGATGATTCAAGTGCATTCCATTTATTGTGCACTTTATCTCTATTATTATTACATTGTAATATGTAATGAAATAGTTAACTCACCATAATGCTGACAGGAGGCGGAGCTTAGGCGGTAATGCGAGCGGTGGGGAGTGGCTGTAAATGCGGATGAAGCTTCGCTCACTCTTTCTCCCCTCACCTTCTGCCGTGTGACCCGGTTCCTAACAGGCCACGGACCGCTAGTGGTCCATGGCCCCAGGGTTGGGGACCCCTGGCATGCAGAATCTTAGTTCCCCAGCCAGGGGTCGAACCCGTGCCCCCTGCAGTGGAAGCACAGAGTCTTAACTACTGGACCGACAGGGAAGTCCCTGGAGTATGTCTTTACACCATGCAAAATGGATATTTGAGGATGGTTTACGCTGGATACCATTATAAAATTAGAGGTCATTTTTTACAGCAGAAATAACCTTCACTGACTTCATTTATGTTGTAAGCTTAAACTTTCTTATGACAGCCTTTTCCTTTTCTTAACTAGAGCACCTCTGTGTTTAGGAAAACTAGAGCTATTGTGAGGGCTTTGAGTTTGCCTGGCAGTTTGTTGGGACTTGAAACACTGAGCTTATCTGAAAGCCTCAGAGGTTCTTGCAACACCTGACCGTAGAGAGTTGGGGGAAAGCCTTTGTTTACCCTCAGACAGCTCACCTCTGAACAGAAGAACCCTGCCTCTCGTTCATTAATTGTTTGTCTATAGAAAGTAGAAGTTTTCATAAGTGTGAAGCAACATGAGAAAAATAAGAGAATGTAGTAAGATTTTCCTAAGGCTAAATTAATTCCACTTAAATTCCTTCAGTAAGTTTTTATCAAGTACCTATAATTTGCTAGGCATGGTCTAGGTAAAATAGGCCCAAATCCCTGCACTGCTGTTTTCTGTTGCTGTATAACCAGCGAACACGAATTTAATGGCTTAAACAGGCACCCACTTATCCTCTCCCAATTCCTCTAGCTCGGAAGCCTGGGCTGGGCTTAGGTGGATTCTCTGCACAGGGTTTCACATAGTTGAAATCAAGGTGTCAGCTGTGTCTGCAACCTCATCTGAGGCCGAGTTCTCTTCCAGGCTTATTCCGGCTGTTGGCAGGTTTCATTTACTGCAACTGTAGGACTGAGGTGTCTGCTTTCTTGCTGGCTGTTAACTGGGGGTGATTCTCTGTTTCTAGAGACCAACCTCCCTTCCCTGGCATGTGGCCCCTTCAATAGGCCCTCTCCAGCTGGAATCTCTCACTTCTGTTTCTGATTTCCAGACCCAGATTTAAGTGGCTTTTGTGATTAGGTCAAGCCCAGGTGTATAATCTCTTTCTATTAACTCAGAGTCAGCTGTTTAGTAACTTTAATTATATCAGCACATCCCCTTTGCTATGTAACATAATCATGGGAGTGATATCCCATATTTACAGGTTACACTCTCGCTCAAGGGGAGAGAGTTCACAGGGTGTGTGCGTTAGGGCCACCTGAGAATTCTGCCTGCTCTACAACTGTGGAGTTTACGTTCCAGGGGTAAAATGTGGGGAGAGACAGACAATAAATGTAAACATAATTAATAAGTACAGTATATGCAGGTTAGAAGTTGATAAGTGCTGTGGAATAATAAAATAGGGGGAGGCAGGAGTGGAGGGAAGAATTGTAAATCGGGTGGTCAGGACAGGCCTTGCTGTGAAGGTGACATTTGAGCACAGATTGAGGAGTCCTGCTAACATCTGGAGAAGAGCTTTCCAGGCAAGGAGAACAGCCACTGCAAAGGCCTGACGTGTTAAAGGACTAGCCAGGAGGCTTTGGGGAAAGGCCATCTGCTATTGGCCCTGAGCACCTCTGCATGTTTTTGCTGGATATGCCAAGAATTGCCAAGCCCTGACCGAGAGGTGGCTTGTTTACTGCTCACTGTAAAAGCAGTCGATTCCTCAAGTGCAGTGTTCCTCTCCTGTAGTGTAGCCACTGCGTGCGCAGCTGTCCATCTAGGCTCTGGGGATTTGGGAGACATAGAACGAGGGCTAACATGAGGCTCTGACAGCTGCTTTTGCCAAGAGTAATAAAGTCCTTTGTCTCTGGCCCAGGACTCTCGTGTCTTCTGCCAGCATCCATGACATAGTCACAGGCTGGTAAGTAGGGCAGAATCTCACACCTGTAGCAGAAGCCACTGTGGGTGCAGTGCAGTGAGCAAGGGGGCATAGCAGAAGATATTTTTACTCTTTCTGCTGAGTCTGTGTTCCTCCCATTGGTTGTAAGATACATTATTATGTGCTGATGAAAAGGAAAGATACTGCCCATTAGACTATGACACTATACTTTCATATCACAATTTTTATTTTATATGTATTAAAAGAGCTCTTTTAGACTTGTTTAAACAGAGTTTTGCTTTCTATTACTCTTGTACGTTCATAAAAAGGGAAATACGAGCAGATTAAATTGGTTAAGATAGTCTAAACATTAATGAGGCTGGGGGACACGTGGCTGCTCGAGGCGGAATCCTGGTGTGTCTCGCTTTGTCAGGCAAAGCAATAAAGCTATTCTCTTCTACTTCACCCAAAATAAAAAACAAAAAACAAAAATTAATGAGGCCGTGATGACATCAAGACTGCTGGGCCCACAGTCACCAACTGGAAGATGCCAATGTCTGTAAGACATAATCCTGATTTTTTTAAAGGGCATTTTAGAATAAATTAATTATAATAATTGTTCTTTAAGTGTTGGAATTTGGCAAGACAAAGGTTGCAACCCTGAAGTTAGTGCCCTCTAATAGTTTTGAAAGGTCAGTGACCCATGAGCTTTATAGTTCCAGAAACTCCTGCCCTAGAGGGTGCCGTGCACTTCCTTTTTGGATATTATTTTTTTCTCCTTTCTGCATTTTAAAATATTATACATGCTTAAGACTAAACACAAATCCCACCCCCAAACCTAAAGTGATCTCTCTCTGGGACTTCCCGGGGGGTTCAGTGGTTAAGGCTCTGTGCTTCCACTGCAGGGGGCGCGGATTGGATCCCTGGTTGGGGAACTAAGATCCTGCAAGCCGCGTGGTGTGGCCACCCCAACCTGACAAATGTAGTTAAAACTAAATATAAAAAAAATAAAGTGATCTCTCTCACCTCTGCTCTGAGCACTTCTGAACTCTTACTGGCCGTTTCACTTATGTGGCATTTGTAATAAGCTGTGTTATAACGTTAGTGTATATTCTTTATTTCCCTCAGTGAGATTGGAAGTTCTGTGAGAACAAGGATTGTTTCTTATGCCTTTTCCCCTTCCTAAAGTGCTTAATTTTGTAAAACAGGTGGAAAATTTGAGAGCACAAATGACTTTTCCAGGCAGTTCTAACCCCATTAAATGTGAAATTAACAGTGGCTAGTGGGAAAAAAAGCATATTTAGAGCCAAATGATGCTCATCGACCTAAATAGTTCCCTCAAGATGGTTCGGCCATGATTAATCCTGCATTAGTCAATGAATTTCTTCCACTGAAAGCCCGTGTGAGGCTGAGTGAGTCAGATGTTGGTGGAAGGGAAGTAAAATGGAGCCCTTTTCCCTTAGTTTCCTTCCTTTGATTTCCCCATGGTTTTGAAATTGCCATCCCTTCATTGCTGTGTCAGCCCTTTCAATGACTGAGCTAAGACAAGTATTAATTCTCCCAAAAGTAATACTTTCCTGAAAGTAACTGATCTCTAGGTAATCAGGGTATGTCAGGAAACATCTCAAAACCCTTCCTGCAATAATATACAATGGAGAAAAGACACTCTCTTCAATAAGTGGTACTTGGGAAAACTGGACAGCTACATGTAAAAGAATGAAATTAGAACACTCCCTAACACCATACACAAAAATAAACTCAAAATGGATTAAAGACCTAATGTAAGGCCAGACACTATGAAACTCTTAGAGGAGGCAGAACACCCTCTGACATAAATCGCAGCAAGATCTTTTTTGATCCACTCCCTAGAGTAATGAAAATAAAAACAAAAGTAAACAAATGGGACCTAATGAAACTTCAAAGCTTTTGCACAGCAAAGGAAACCATAAACAAGATGAAAAGACAACCCTCAGAATGGGAGATAGTATTTGCAAACGAAGTGACCGACAGGGATTAGTCTCCAAAATATACAAACAGCTCACGTAGCTCAATATCAAAAAAACAACCCAATCAAAAAATGGGCAGAAGATCTAAATAGACATTCCTCCAAAGAAGGCATACAAATGGCCAAAAAGCACATGAAAAGATGCTCAACATCACTAATTATTAGAGAAATGCAAATCAAAACTACAATGAGGTATCACCTCACACCAGTCAGAATGGCCATCATAAAAAATTTACAAGCGGGCTTCCCTGGTGGCGCAGTGGTTGAGAGTCCGCCTGCCGATGCAGGGGACACAGGTTCGTGCCCCAGTCCAGAAAGATCCCACATGCCGCGGAGAGGCTGGGCCCGTGAGCCATGGCCGCTGAGCCTGCACATCCGGAGCCTGTGCTCCGCAACGGGAGAGGCCACAACAGTGAGAGGCCCGCATACGGCAAAAAAAAAAAAAAAATTTACAAGCTAAATGCTGGAGAGGGTGTGGAGAAAAGGGAACCCTCCTACACTGTTGATGGGAATGTGTAAATCAGTGCAGCCACTGTGGAGAACAGTATGGAAGTTCCTTACTGGTACAGCTACCATATGATCTAGCAATCCCATTCCTGGGCATATATCCAGAGAAAACCATAATTTGAAAAGATACATGCACCCCAATGTTCATTGCAGCACTGTTTACAATAACCAGGACATGGAAGCAACCTAAATGTCCATTGACAAAGGAATGGTTAAAGAAGATATGGTACATATATACAATGGAATATTACTCAGCCATAAAAAAGAATGAAATAATGCCCTTTGCAGCAACATGGATGGACCTAGAGATTATCATACTAAGTGAAATAAGTCAGACAGAGAAAGACAAATATCATATGGTATCTCTCATATGTGGAATCTAAAATAATGGTATAAATGAACTTATTTACAAAACAGAAATAGAGTCACAGATGTAGAAAACAAACTTATGGTTACCGAGAGGGAAAGCGGGGGGAGAGAAAAATTGGGAGATTGGGATTGACATATACACACTACTATATATAAAATAGATAACCAATAAGGACCTACTGTATAGCACAGGGAACTCAGTACTCTGTAATGGCCTATATAGGAAAAGAATCTAAAAAAGAGTGGATATATGTATATGTATAACTGATTCACTTTGCTGTACACCTGAAACTAACATAACATTGTAAATGAACTATACTCCAGTAAAAAAAATTTTAAAAACCCAACAAAACAAACAAAAAACAAAAAACCAAAACCCTTCTTGGACTCTCCGGTCTTTCCTTCATGGCCTCTTGTTCTCTCTGCCTGTGTGTGTGCAGACTTCTGTTGTAACTCTTCTCACATATATTGACTGATGCCCCATCTAGACTGTCACCTCCTTCTCAGGAAGGATAGCTTATTTGCTTTTTATTTTTATTTGCCTTTTATTCCTAGCACAGCGTTCCTTAGCACGTCTTCAATAAAAGTTTGTTGATGAGTGAATGGATCTGTCCCTTTAAGAGGGGAGGTGGACCAATGGGAGTGTTCTGTGAAAGAAGCACTCAGTTTGTGAATGAGGAGCAACCAAGGGCAGATGCTGTAGCGCCTTTAAAGTTGGCTTAAGCCAACCTAAGTGTCCATCAACAGATGAATGGATAAAGAAGATGCGGCATATATATATACAATGGAATGTTACTCAGCCATAAAAAGAAACGAAATTGAGTTATTTGTAGTGAGGTGGATGGACCTAGAGTCTGTTTGTAATACAGAGTGAAGTAAGTCAGAAAGAGAAAAACAAATACCGTATGCTAACACATATATATGGAATCTAAAAAAAAAAAAAAATGGTTCTGATGAACCTAAGGGCACGACAGGAATAGAGATGCAGACAGAGAGAATGGACTTGAGGACACGGGGAGGGGGAAGGGTAAGCTGGGACAAAGTGAGAGAGTGGCATGGACATATATACACTACTAAATGTAAAATAGATAGCTAGTGGGAAGCAGCCGCATGGCACAGGGAGACCAGCTCGGTGCTTTGTGTCCACCTAGAGGGGTGGGATAGGGAGGGTGGGAGGGAGATGCAAGAGGGAGGGGATATGGGGGGGATATATGTATATGTATAGTTGATTCACTTTGTTATAGAGCAGAAACTAACACACCATTGTAAAGCAATTATACTCTAATAAAGATGTTAAAAAAATAATAAAGTTGGCTTAAGCTACTTGGAAGAAAGAGGTAGCAAATGATAGATATTTGGCAAGAGATTCTGACGTTGAATGAATACTTAATAATTACAGGGCAAAATACTAGAAAGATTAACACTTGCTGATAAGCCTGCTTTTGTGCGATCATTTTGTGTTCCTTAGATGTTTTTATGAAACCACTCCACAAACCTTTATTAAGCCCCTTCCATGTGCCAGGTACAGGGAATACAAAAGTACTAAGTATGGAGTTTGTCTTCAGGGAACCCGCAAACTAGTGGGAGAAACAAACAAGTTAGTAGAAGCCCTTATTCTAACAAGAACCCATCTGGTAGTTGTTTGGTTAAAGAAAAAAGCTGATTAAGCAGGAAGTCATACAAACTTATTTTAATCTATAAATACACAATCATTTGCCAAACTTCTGACGTAAGACCAAGGCCTTGTCTTTGATTATGAGTCCACCGATTGGAGTTCGGAATATTCTTTCTTACACAGAGCTCCCCCCACCCCCAACTTATAATTTCCAATTTCTTTTCTTTAGACTGGAGTAAGAATTTACAGATTCTCTCTGTGCACAGTCTTATGAAAGCTTCCCTGTTATTTTCCACTGCTTCCACCCAACATTTAGCTCAGTGACTTTTTTTTTTTTTTTTAGCTACTCACTTTTACTGAGTCCTCCACGGGATTCAATGTAGTTTTTGTAGAAATAATCACATCTTCCTTTTCCCATTCATCTTTCATCAGTTGATATAATAGTTACAATAGCAAGTATAATTGGCATAAACAAATTAGGGAATGAACACAATGATCTTGGTAAGAATCAGTGGGAGCAGAGGTACCCGGGCATAGGTGAGGCCAGAAGCCACCAGGGTAACCTTGAGCGGGCAGCGGTCATGAAGAGTACCCTTCAATCTAGTGAGTAGGCCAGGCAGAGATCAGTTAGAAGCGTGTCTACTGTAGTCAACAACATGGTTGAATAAGCCCCATATAAGTAAAAGTTTATGCCCAAATTCAAGGGTGTATTAATTCTTCCTGAGGTGTTGAAAAAGATTCACAGCTGCTTTTTTATAGCAGATTTCCAGTTTCCTGCAGGAATGTATTAAAAATAATTGCTCTCATTTATTGAACTCTCATTATGTGCAGGTATTGCTCTAAGTATGTGACATGGATTAAACCATTGAAAAGGTTAAATGAGGAAAGATAAAACAATCCCAAGAGGAGTTTCTATATTGTTATCTCCATCTTACAGATGAAATAACGAGGCACAGAGAAATTAAAATAACTTGCCCAGAGTCACAGAGCTAAGAAATTTAAGTGGTGAAGTGGGATTAGAGCCCAGTCCATCTTGATTCTACAGCCAGAGTTTTAAATATTATGTACTGCATTTTTCTGCTATATTCTCCACCTTCTAGAACTTAAAGGCAAATAATTAGTAAATATTTGAAACCCATCCAGCACCGAATGATGCCTTTTCTTATAGAGAACAACAGGCTGTTTATTGTGATGGAGTACTGTGATGGAGGGGATCTCATGAAAAGGATCAAAAAACAGCGGGGAGTGTTACTTAGTGAAGATCAGGTAAAAACTCTTCTAATTTGCCTTTTAATTTATATTGGGGGATTAAATTTATAATGTCATAAGTAATAGACTGTTTATATGAAGCATGCTTTGTGGAAGAGAAATTCAAACTATAAAATAATGGATCAGTATTCTTGATAGGTCTGGCCTAGAACATGTTTGCAATTGAACTTAAATTGAATCTCTTTTTGAGAGTGAACTTTGCTTGAGAAAGAACCGTGTCTTATTTTTGGACCATCTCATGTAGGATGCCTCTGAGATGAATCTTCATGGCGGAAAAGAAAAGTGAATGTGGATGTTCCTTAGCCATTTAAAATGTGATGTATTTATAGCTTCACTTTTCTTCCTTTTATCGTTGAGTACTCTTTTAAAATAGCTATCCCACTTTGCTAGGGAGCATAGAAGCTCTTCTTAGCAATGGCTATTTAGCTTCATTCGCTATTAAGAGAGAGGAGAGAAAAGGTGAAGAATAATGGCCTCAGGTCTCATTTTCTCTTTGCACAAACACATTTTTCTTCTATTCCCTGACCTCCCTTTGATACCCTCTTGGGAGTTGTACTCGGGAAGGAGACAGGTGTGTGGGGTGGGGACTGAAGAATTGGACTCAGGGCCTGTGTGATTGATGGGAAAGGCCACGGCCTCAGCCAGGGCACAGGAATGGCCTGCCATCTTTCTTTAGGGCATTTGTTTCTTCGTTCTCTTTTAGCATTCAAGAGCATCAGGCCCAAATAATTTCCTCCTAGAGTTAAATTGAATGTTGTGGGTTTCCCCGGTGGTGCAGTGCTTAAGAATCCACCTGCCAGTGCAGGGGACACGGGTTCGAGCCCTGGTCTGGAAAGATCCCACATGCCGCGGAACAACTAAGCCCGTGTGCCACAACTACTGAGCCTGCGCTCTAGAGCTCGCGAGCCCCGACTACTGAGCCCGCATGCCACAACTACTGAAGCCCATGCACCTAGAGCCCATGCTCCACAACAAGAGAAGCCACTGCAAGAGAAGCCCGCACACCACAACGAAGAGTAGCCCCCGCTCACCGAAACTAGAGAAAGCCCGTGTGCAGCAACAAAGACCCAACGCAGCCAAAAAAAAAAAATTGAATGTTGTGAATGTATGAATGATTAAAGAATCAGTATCTCTAACCTCTGTAAATTTAATCAAGCATTCTCCCTGTGCTCATCTACATTATATATTAAATTCTGTATTTGTAGAAACCCTTCTTTCTTCCTATCTAGGTATTATTTTGCTGCATTTAATAAAAATACTTTTCTCTACACAATTTTGAACTACATTTCCCGTTTAGGGGAAAGAACTAAAATTACAACTGAATCTTAGTATCTGGAATGTAGCTTTTTTTTCTATTGTTTTCCTCTCTGTGTATAATTTGGTGGACAAAGAATCATTGCAATTTTAGAGTCATTTAAATAAATCTCTATAGGTATAGACATAGTTTAATAAAGAGGCTCATGGCCAGCTAAGAAAATCATATCTAAGAAATAAAATTAAACTTTAAAAAGTTTAAAAGTAAAATATTTCTTAGTTTTATATTATATACTTGTGTGTTGATATTTCATTAAAAATTTTAATAACCTCACAGATTCTCCACTTTTTCCTCTTTCTCTCTTTGCCCTTGACACCTTCCTTCCACTGAAAAGGAAAAAGCAGTGGCACTAGGGTTATCAGGAAACAGAGCTGCTTGTCTACTCTGCTGATGCAGTTAGCAACCCAATGTTAAGGAAAAAGATCATGACTTGCCTCCCTCTCTTTCTTTGTTCTGTTTATCTTTCTCTGTGTGCGGTGTTCCTTTTCATACCAACACATTTGGATTGCCTTTTCACACCTCCATGTTTCTAACTGTAAAAAGAAAATAGTACGATAAGATGGTATACCTATAAGCTTCATTCATATAACCACACACACAAGTATATTATTCCTCTCTTCTTGTATGTTACCATGAAGACATTTCAGTCATCACCAGACTCCTCACCAGTTTTGTTTCATGTTCCCTCTACAGATTCTGAGTTGGTTTGTACAGATTTCTCTAGGAGTGAAACGTCTTCATGACAGGAAGATCTTACACAGGGACATAAAAACACAGGTAACAGTTCAGAGACAAAATCAAGACAGATCTTTTGTTTTCTTGAAATATCTCCAGCAACATAGCATTTTCTCCACTTACAGAACATTTTTCTTAGCAAGAATGGAATGGTTGCAAAGCTTGGGGACTTTGGTATTGCAAGAGTCCTGAACAAGTAAGTACTTTTTAAAAACATTTTCTTTCTGATCGTAACAGCCAAAATATGTATTTTTAGTTATCATGAATTAAGATATTAAGAGCTTGGTTTCCCAAGAATTTTTGATAACTGTTTATATAAGTGTATTAAATCATTCAGATGCTACTTTGTCTGAGATTAAAATTTGCGGGTAGGTATGAGAAGGATGGTGGCGATGTATAGTGTGATATAAGCTGATCAAATGAGATGTGACTGAAATGCGTATAAAGCTAGTGAGCGTTTCGTGAACCAGGCAAATTCACACGTGCTGGGGGGAATGTATTGATGCAGCTGTTTTGGAAGACAGTTTGGTGGTAATAAATATCAAGAGATTTTTAAATGTTCCATTTCTGAGAATTTATTCAAAGGGGATAATTTGAAATCTGGAATAACTTAAAGATGCCTAAGAATTGGGAAATGGTCACATTTCATAAAACGTAGCACAGCATGTACCTGAATATTATAAAGCCACTAACATTTATGATTTGGAAGACTTCTTGATAACGTGAGGACAAACTTTGTTATATTAAGTAAAAAAAAAAAAAAAGGAATTCTGAATTTTAAATATGCTATGATCACAGCTATGTGGAAAATATGCATGGAAAAAAAGACAAGAAGGAACTATGTCAGAATTTTAACCTAGTTGTTTGGGGGTTTTAAGATTCTGAGTAAATTTTTTCTTCTTTATTTACTTTTATGTTTTCCAAATTTTAAATCATGAGATTGCATTACTTTAGTCACTGGAAAGAGGAAAGTCTTTACACGTGAGGGGTTTGCAATGTAACGGTGGTACCTCTCCGTGCAATCTTTAAGCCATAAAATTTTTTCTAATGTGTAGATTTTGGGGAGGTGAATTATAAGCTTAAAAATCAACGAATTTTATTACTATATTATTAATGTACAGTGTTTTGCTTTATTTTGGTATGTGAACACATCAAATTTTGTGTCCACTTTTATACTTTTTTCTTGCATGTATGTGTATGTCTTAAGCCCTTTCTTCAGTAATACACTGTGTTATTTTATTATTTAATATAATTTTGCTAGTGCCATGGAACTTGCTAGAACTTGTGTTGGAACACCTTACTACTTGTCCCCAGAGATCTGTCAGAATAAACCCTACAACAATAAAACGTGAGTTGCTGACTTTTGGTTCGAAAGTCGCAGTAAAATCTGATGCATTCTTTCTTATGGTGCTTTTGTAATTTCATTTTCTTCACCTGTGAAATGAGGATCCCAGTGACTGTCTCTGACCACTTCAGTGTTCTCTGAAGCTTTTGAACTTATTTAGAAAAAAGACATTTCTTTTGAAGATGCAAGTGATAGAAAGAATGACATTGAAAATCGCAGTCACTGTGATGTCCATCTGTGTATTTGATTCTCATGCTTTCTAAGCCCTGTTTAGCCTATTGCAGGAAAGTGTTGTAAATGGGTCAGAAGACGGTGAGGCTGGTGACTGAGTACTGGTTTAGCAGCCAGGAATCCTAATATTGACTCAGTCGGCAATTTGACCAAGTCAGTCCATCTCTGTGGGCCTCAGTTCCCCTAACTGCGACAAAGAGAGCTGGTAATTGTTAAGGCATAGGTAGATAGGTAATTTGTTAAGGCATCTTCCAGCTTTAAAATTCAGCTAGCTTTTATGCATGTGGTACCAGAGCATACTGTCAGGAATAACAATATTAATAGACACAGTGATAAAAGATGAAGATGAGTTAGTTTTTACTTCCATGGAAGGAGAAGGAAAAATGTTCACTTTTCAAAGCTGTCTGCCCGTTGAACCGGTTGGCTTTGCAGGAAGACTGAGCTTCTTTGTGGAGTTAATTGTCTGTTTGTTTAGGAGAACACCCAAGGAATATTTGGCTGTTTTACTTTGAAAGAGAGGGCAAAGCCCTAAAAAAGAATGGTAAACATTTCTCCACATGGTGAAAGAGCAGGCATTTCTTGGAGACAGCCTCTGACTTAGAGAAGGGGTTTGGCCTCAAGCTGAGCAGGAATGCAGCTTGTGCAGCCGGGGTAGAAGGGCAGGCTGTCCAGAGCCGAGCACAGTGCTACAGAGACCCCCTAGCTCCGCAGCATTGCTTTGTTTCCTTGTACTGCTTTTTTTAAGGATTTGAGTCAACATTTAAATATGCTGGTCTGATGCTTTCAATAATTGGAAGATCCTAGCAGTAACTGTTATGAAACCAGATTCATTTGCCTGATGAACAGACGAGCCAAATGCTGAGGCACCGAGGTTTGCAGCAGAGAAAGGGTTTATTCACAGGGCAGCCAAATGAGGAGACTGGAGTACAAGTCTTAGATCTGCCTCCCTGAAGGTGAGCGGCTTGAGATATTTATGTGTGGTCTTCGGCGTCGTCTTGGGCGTGGGGCAAGAGGATTGGAGGTAGGGAAGGGGTGAGGTAACTGGTGTTCTGGATGGACGTATCTGAGTTACATCCGTCTTCATGGGATGCGTGTTCAAAAATGGAGGTGTTTAGCATGATCAGAGGGCGGTGTTTTGGGCCCTCTGAGGTCAAAATGTCATTCACTGGACACCTGCACAGGCCTAGTTTTAGCACATGTTTTTCAAGTTCATTGAGTACCAGATGCCCTGGTCATCACTTAATCTAACTTTGGTTTTGTCAATAGCCTTGAGTAGAATATTCCTTTCGAAATCAAACAGATGTCACCCTTTCAATCAAACAAATCCATGTTTGAGTTCTACCTTCCTCCTCCAAATTGCTCAAAATTCCGCACAGGTACACACTTTCTTCGAGCCCATCACATGAAGTGAATATTGAGCCATCAGATTCTAGCAAAGCCTGTATACCTTTTCTTTGCTAGGATTCTGACAAACTACAAATTTTCCCTCTAGTCTTAGTAAGAAGTGATAATGTACTGAAAGCATTTGTGAAAACTTGTCAACCTATATAAAACTGTAAAGATGCACAAATATGATGCACTGTAAGGATAAAGGTTTTCATTGAGAATTATTGATATTTCTTAGCATGTCAACTCTTATCTTACCCAGGGATATTTGGTCTCTTGGCTGCGTCTTATATGAGCTCTGCACACTCAGACATCCTGTAAGTATATTAATCGCCAGATTAATCTTGAACTACTGAAAACTATATAAATGAAATTAACCTCTTGAGAGGAAAAGGTTAATGTTTGGTTTTATTAGATTGTTAAAAATTATATGGACAAGCTATTAACAAGAATGACAGCTCCATATATACTGACAAGGAAAGATATCCAAGCTATATTATAAAGTACAAAATCCGAGTTGGAGAATAGTACATGTAGCATATTTCCATGAAAATAAATTGTGTGTGAACATATCAATACATAATCAGCAAAGGGAAAAGGTGCATGGAGCGAAGATTGTAAGAAACCAGGCACAAGCTTCCAAGAGCCTTTCCCAGTAGAGTCACACAGGATGCACTGATTTCTCCAGCAACAAGTTGTGACAATACATGTGAAATGTTATCTACCAGGGAAGCTCATTCGAGACCCAGTGTCCAGGGTTTTTGTTGGGACTGGTCATGTAGGCACCTCTGCCTAGCAAGTGCCAAACTTCTCGATTCCCAGGAAGAAAGCAGGTATTCAGCATAATCCATGTTGTTTGCACAGTGTGGGGAAAAAGAGAGCCACTCGGAACATTTGGGGAATGGTGAGAACGCTCCTGAAATCCAAGTTCCCAGATGCCAGCCAAGGGCCAATGTAAGCAGGCCTTTCTAAGGATAGCAGTCTTAGACCATCTATGTTACCTCTTTTGTACACAGTTGTCGTTTTGTTGTTATTGTTATTATTATCATTATTTTCAAATAGTAAGTGTCAGATAGTAAGTGTCTAAGCCAAACCTGATCTTTCCTGCCACACCATTCTGCCCAACATTATCATTATGTGTAAATAATGATGATATCATACAGTGGAATGCTTTCTGGTTTATGAAGAATTTTTGAGGAAATGGTTTACGTTATGTTAATTTAAAAAGCAATATGTAAAATTTCATATTGTTATGATCTCAACTTTGTAAAATAAACATTATTTTTAAAAAGACTGGAAGGAAATATGCCTCTGGGTGGTGAAATTGTATGTATTTTCCCTGTTTATAATTTCCTATACTTTCCAGTTTTCTAGAATGAGTAAATATTTTGATAATAAGAAAAAAACTAAAAAAAACCCTTTTTTAAGTAGGACGACATTTCATTGAATAACCGCCTACAGTATCTACTCATGAAAGATTAGTTGATGGAAACAGTTCAGGGTAGACCATAGTGCTTGTAATTAAAGCTATATAACATTGTTTTGCTTCTTGATGCTACTTTAAATACTAGCATTGAATTTTTCTCTGATTTAGTATCACCATTCCTTGTCTTTTCAGTTTGAGGGTAACAACTTAACACCAGCTGGTTCTGAAGATTTGTCAAGCTCGTGTTCCCCCAGTATCTCCAAGGTTTTCCCATGACCTACAGTCCTTAATATCCCAGCTCTTTGAAGTGTCTCCCGGAGCTCGACCATCCATTAGTTCCATTTTGAAAAGGCCCTTTTTAGAGAACCTTATGGCCAAATACTTGACTCCCGAGGTGAGTTTTGAGGCGATTCTGTTTGGATTTTGACAGAGATTTTTACTAGCAAGTCCTGACACACTGTTTGATTTTAGATCATTCAGGAAGAATTCAGTCACACCCTCAGACATAAAGCAAGATCGTCTGCTTCTCGACCTGCTGGGAAGGTGGTTCCAGGTAAGAATGATTTAACCGTGCAATCAAAAAACATTTATTATGTCTCACGCAATGATTTATAATATATGGCTGATAACTTTAGCAGAGAAATTCCTCCAAATATGTTGAACATGGACATTTAAAAAATATGGGCAGTATAAGCAGAAGAAAAATTATCTTGTCAAGTGGTGACCTGGGGGCGTGCCTGTATATCTAGTTTATGTATGACCTGGAGGATTCATCTCCTCTCTTCTCATCGGTCGGGAAAACTTGATGCAGCAGTGGATTTGCTGATAAAGAGATGCTCAGAGAGGTAGAATCTAAACTTAACTTCTGTGTGGGGAAGGGATACAGAGTCAAAGAAGGTTCACAGACAGACATGGAGTCATGAAATGAGGCTTATTTTTCTGAAATAGAGAGAATGGACTGGCGATTAAGAGTTCTCCTGCAGAGGCCTGTTGGAGCTGAAGTTAGGATCTCGGACCTAATTGGTAACAGTGGGACCCCCAAAGAAAGCAGCTGATACTTTATGGTAATGATAAATGGATAAGCAGTGGTAGTGGTGGAGTTAGGAATCAGCTGCTGAAGCACTGTGTGTGTGTGTGTGAGAGAGACAGACAGACAGACATGAAAGAGAAAAATGACTCATTCAATTGATACTGTGAAATAAGAGCACCAGGATTTTTAGCCATAACCAAATGTCTCAACTTTAAGGATGAGAAGTAGAAAATCTCTCCAAGGAACAGTGATAGGGAAATATTACCCACTGTGATGGAGAAACTAAAAGTGAGAAAAGTTATAAAGGGAAAGTGAATTAATGATTCTGCCATGTTTAATTTCGTTTGCCATCGTTATATATTAGTCTAGATTGAGCGTGTTTAGAAAGTAGATAAGCAGAGGACGAGAGAAGGTGTATTGTCTACATTTCTAATATAGGACAGATAGGAAAACAAGAACACATTTTTTTTTCTATTTATTTTTGGCTGCGTTGGATCTTTGTTGCTGCGCGCAGGCTTTCTCTAGTTGCAGCGAGCGGGGACTACTCCGCGTTGTGGTGCACGGGCTTCTAACTGCGGTGGCTTCTCTTGTTGCGGAGCACGGGCTCTAGGCACGCGGGCTTCAGTAGTTGTGGCTCGCGGGTTCTAGAGCAGAGGCTCAGTAGTTGTGGCGCACGGGCTTACTTGCTCCGTGGAATGTGGGATCTTCCCGGACCAGGGATCAAACCTGCTTCCCCTGCACTGGCAGGCGGATTCTTAACCACTGTGCCACCAGGGAAGTCCCAAGAACACATTTTGAAGGTGACAAACACAAACATATTCGAAGACCTACTCATCCATTTCAAACAACAATGCAACATGAATGCTGTGGTCTGATAACCCAAGCTCTGATGACTACATTTAGTTACTTGTAATTAAATTAATTTAGTTAATAACTTAATTACTAACTAAATATGCCATTATGTTATGCATATTGTTTCCATAAATGTTAATTCCCCAATTTTTAAAAAGTAGTGTTATATATTACTGGAAATATGTAAAGGAACACTGGAAAAAATGGTTTCCTCCATTCAGAGAAAATGTGTAGTAATTTTCCATCAGCACTTCTCTCCATGGGTATAAATGTCTCTGGTTAAAGAGAACTTACTGTGTTATGAAACGCCCCTTATACTCTCACAAGCGTAATATTAATGATGTGGAAATTAAAAAAAAATTAAGTTGTTTTATTTTGGTTAAATAAGGTTTTAAAATACAGAAAGTGAGATTCCAGGGAAAGTGCCTGCCAAGATGAAGGATATCAGTGCTATTTAAAAGGAAGGACATATATAGAAATGAATGGAGACCGCCAGCTGGAGCCCAGAAGCCCATATCTGTAAGTCATGCTCAACCCTTCCTCTGTTTTTTTTAGTGGATGGCATATTCTACAGAACTACTTGCACATGTTCATGAGGTACAAGGTCATTACTTCGGGGTTCACTAGTTTCGTGCTTGTAATAAAATTCTGTAAAATGAACGTTAAAGTGCCACTTCATGAGACAGCTTCAAGTTATTTTCAGCAAATGCTGTATTTCCTTATAAGTATTCTATACATTAGTTTTTGTTTTCTTTTTATAATTCAAATTCTTTTAATTTCTTTAAGTAAATAAGGTTTTTCTATACAGGAGAAGTGAGTAGCATTGTGGCGGAACACATGCATTTCATACTCTTAATCCTGATGTTATGTATAATTGAGAAATTTTTATTATATAATCATTGATTTTTTTTTTTTTTCCCCCAGAGTTTCTTCATGCCAGTTGTTTGAATCCACTTCAGCAGAATGTTGAATCTTTTAGTTTATGCCAGTGAAATGCTTCTGGCACATAAAAATAGCTATTGTATTTTAATCGAAAAATTGTATTTTAAAAGAAGGCTCATGATAAAAAAAAAAAAGAAGAAGAAGACGGCTCACGGTATAAAGTGTGTTGTGATTTAGAATACTCTGTAGCAAACCCGGTAGGAGAAAAAAAACACACAAAAATAAACATCTCAAAGACTCATGGATGGATGAAGTTAGGTGAACCCATTGACATTTTCTTAATCCTTTGAAAGTTTCTCCTAATGCAGTGAAATGAACGGGTCTGCACAGGAGCCACCTCTGATGTTCTCATTACCATTTGGGACTTTAGAGAAAATCCTAAAGAAGCTGTTTCTTCCTTCTAATACTTTTCTCTACTTCTAGCCATTTTTCAAGTAATTAGTAGTAACTGCTTTGTGTTGTACATAGGCAAACATTGTAAAACTAAGAAAACGGCTTCACACTTTAAAAGATTTTTAAAATAAATATACAATCTATGTTTAGACTGATAAACCAAATTTTATACATTTACTTTAATATTTGAATAGAACTATATAAATATGCCATTTTTGTAAGTTAAAGATGGTTAAATATCTACAATTCCATATGGTTCATATGTATATATATATATATATATATATATATATATATATATATATATACACACATATGAGCCATATAGCATTAAAAAGAACAAAGAATGTAATGTGTTACTTCTTTACAGTGAGGAAATTTCAGTCTTAACCACGTGTTTGGTTATTCGTATTTCCAGTTATAAGTTCCAGACCTTTCCATAGGTTTGATCTTCTTTTTTTCTTTTGTTAGCAACTGTTAAGTGGACAGCATGGTCACCATAAATTGACCCTATTTTGCTATTTAGCAACAGGGTCTTGACTGGTTTTCATATGTTAATCTGGTCCGATTCTTGTCTCCCAGCTCAGGGGCCTCTACTACGGAATGCTGAGATAAACATTTGTCTCTGGTTCTCCTCTCATTCTGTTCTGGTTGGGAAGGGTGGTGAGGCATAGCTTGAGATGGTCATAAACTGGTCACAGCTGTTACAATGACTTTCCTTGTGTTTACACGGGAAGAATTTACTCTGAGTGATTCAGCATCTTCTTTCCTTCCAGTCATGTTGCCATTCTGTATTTAGTAAATTTATCAGAACCTAAACGTTTTGCAAATCCCCAAATCTGTGAGTTGCACAATACAGTATTCTCCCATAAAGTCTAGTAAGGTGTAAATAAATTTATGGAAAATAAGAAATAATAATGCTAAGTTTAGTTTCAGATCTTGGGTTGGATAGATACTCACTTGCTAAGTATTTCTGATACACTAGCCAGGAAGTATACATGATTCATATTCACACCTTAGCAAAATTATAATTTACTGCACTACAGTACTTAGACTTCTAAAACATTTTTCAGTTCTAGAATTTGGGGATTCTAAGATTACTCAAAAACAAGTCTAGAGCAAAAACAAGATAGCTCCAATGCCTTGTCATAGCTATGGTCACTATCAAACTGTCAGTTGTTATAGATTCTAATCATGTATTTTAAAAATATCTCTCTTCTTTTTAATCCCTCAGATAAAAATGGTAGAAAGGCCCAAACTTGCTGCAGTGTGTGGACATTATGATCATTATTATGCTCAACTTGACTTGTTGAGGAAGAGAGCCAATGGACAAAATTACCACTATGTTCCTCAAAAAGATACCAGAGTTGAAGAGAATTATAATCAGGAAGAAAGCCACAGTCCATCTTCAGGTCAATGGTAATGTCATAGTCTACTTAAACTTTGGTCCTCTGAAAATAGTTTGCTATATCAACATTTATTCTGAAGTCCTTCCAAATTCTCCTAAAACATCTGGGAAGAACTTCCAGACTCTGCATTTAGAATACTTAATTCACAGTTCCCGTGACCCTTTTTCATCTTAACTTTGATGTAGCTAATCTTATTCATGTAGCCATTTGACTGTGGGAACAGATTAATGCTCTTGAATTTTTAATGTCTTTTCTTTTTCCTAGTAAATTCCACTATCTGGGATTGATGAAAATAGTTGTATATGTATCATTTTCCAGATATTAATATTAATAATAATTGAATTGTAATCAAATTATAATTTGACACCTACTGAAATGTGAAATATATTTCATTTAGCATTTATATTCTTGGGATTTTTCAGAATATGGATGTATTAGAAAGAAAACAATATAATTATGGTATACTTTCAAAAAGTTTACTCCATAACAAATTTCTACAGATCTACAATACTTTTTATGGTTTCTTTCACACTGATGTCAGTGTTCTATGATCAGAGTGATTGACACCCATTCACAGCCCTGAAGACCTAAGTCTGAGAGGAATTTTTTTTTTTTTTTTTTTTTGCAGTACGCGGGCCTCTCACTGTTGTGGCCTCTCCCGCTGCGGAGCACAGGCTCCGGACTAGCAGGCTCAGCGGCCATGGCTCACGGGCCCATCTGCTCCGCGGCATGTGGGATCTTCCCGGACCGGGGCACGAACCCGTGTCCCCGGTATCGGCAGGCGGACTCTCAACCACTGCGCCACCAGGGAAGCCCGAGGCATTTTTTTTTAAATGCTTTTGCCATCACATTTTTTCTTTCAGTGTTGGGAATTTGCTAACTTTTGGTGTCTGTGGTTATTTATTGTTGAAAGTTTGGACAAACAATGAAATATATGAGTCTATATGATGGTGATCTCATCAGATAGCTAATGAAAATTAGATAAGCAAGAATAATAAAAGAATGATTTCTCCAGAAATGCATGATGGGAAAAGTAGACATTTTATTTTTAAAGATATTGGGTGCGGTCATGGTTTTCTTCCATCTTCATAACATATTTTTAATGACCTCCATGATCATCAAAAGTTATGTGTTCCATTAGTTCAAATTATAATATTCATATAGGACTCAACTAATGAGTGACATATTTTACATAAGAACTAGGTACAGGCACAAAGCTCCCTTTCCCTTTTCTCAGCCACTGGGAAACTGTGTCTTCCACCCTTTGTCTAGATATGAGAGCTGTCAAACTGTCAATTATTTTGATTATGTATGATTGTATCTCCCAAACTCTCACATAAAATGGTAGAAAGGTCCTTCTCTTCCCTGTATGCTGCTGCCCATCATCTTACTGTGTTCCAGGCTGCCCCTCTGATGACTGGCAACCCCTCCTCATTGTTATTCCAAGCCCCCTGCCCGGCTTTCTCTCTATCAGAGCTCCAATTCCATGGGAATCAAGTCTTGATGTCTGGAGGAAGAAGAACCTATAGAGGGTTGGGGAGAGAAAGACAGACAGACAGACAGAGAGAGAGAGAGAGAGAGAGAGAGAGAGAGAGAGAAAGAATGTCTCTTGAACAGCCCCTGGATGACTGAATAGTTTTTCTCATGGAGATAAGTTTCTGAGAGGAGTGCTACATGTTAGCCTTCATCTGAGTCAAGCACAATCAATGTGTCAGACGCTGGTCAGGAACCTTCACAGACTTGTCTCTTCTAATCCTCACATCACCCCCTGTGAGATTGGTATTGTGCCCATTTTACAGATGGGGAACTAAGGCCCAAAGACTGTAACTAGCTTATGATTTCATCATATTTCTATACAACTGATTTATTAACTTGACTCTTCAGAAACTGGGGACCACTCATCCTGATGTGCCTAAAGGAGTTTCTGAAATGGCTGTTCTGTCTTTGGAGCCCAGGCAGTTGCTAGAATTCCAAAGAACTTTATCACTAGCTCATACTATGATCTGAAATGTGGTAGTTTTTGTTTAGCGATCTGTAATTACAGAAATTCTTGTAGGAAATTCTGAAAAAAAGATAAATATCTAGAACATAGGTACAAACCTGAAAATGGTTTGACTAGAATTGACCAGAATTGTGCTGGAAAAATACTTAAACATTGTGAGAGATGGAGAAAGCCTCATTTCTTTATTCATTAAGCATTTGTGAGCCAGCGTGAGGAGCAGAGGCGAAGGGAGAGGCCCCCATCCTGCTCTAAGGAGCTCAGAGTATCGTGCAGGCAACAGGCGAGCAGCTATCAGTGCAGTCAGGGTGACAAGCCTATAGATTAGATACCTGCACACAGCATGAGAAGATCCTGCTATGGGTTTTTTCTCTTTGCCTTCCACATATTATAGACTATGGGTGGACTGATTCCTTCCCTGAAGAAAAATCATTGTAACAGAATATTTTTCGGTTCTATCCTGTCCTGTATCCCCAGTTTTACTGTTCTCTTTACCTCCCTTTCTTCTTGATTTCACAGATATCTTCTTTTCCACTGTACACATTCTGTAACTTTGAATTACTTCTCGAACTCGGAACGTCACAGGTGAATTGTGAGTCTCATTACAAAGCTGAAAATTCACTTGTCGAATTGGTGCCTATGATGAGTTAAAATTTCTACTCAGGCTGAACGTTTGTGTTTCCTAAGGCTTGCTGAGTACCTTCAGAGGAAATGTGAAGCTCAACGACATAAGCTGAAGGTGGAAAAGCAATTGGTAAGTAAAATACCAACTATAAGAGGCCATCAGGAATTTTCTAATGCTTTCTCTGTTCACAAATATTCATGGATCCTCAAGTCAAAGATCATTCCACATAGATGATTAAGACTATTCTCCACTTTCCCCGGTTTTTGATAGCTAAAGAAGAATAATGGGAATAGGCTTCAGTTAGGGTCTGGGAAGCCTAGTCCCTTCCCTGGCTCCATCACTTGCTAGATGACCTTAGGCAGGACATGCCACCTCTCTGAACCTCAATTTCCTTTTCTATAAAAGCTGTAGATGGGCTTCAAGGTCCCTTTCAGTGCTGCAACTCTTCGATTCTATTTTATTAGAATTCTACACATTTTCAAAGAGGGATTACTGTATTTTATTTGAAATGAAAGTTAACCTTTACTCTTAAGTATAGTGTCAGAATTCTGGGGCTGAGCGAGCTTGGATACACCACCTATTTGTATTACTCTTATTTTGAACTGCTCAAAAGTTCTAATTCTCTTCCCCACCTAATCTCATGCTCCAGGGGTTGCTAAACTTTTACAGAACTTCGATTTCCCAATTATAATTTAGCAGTTCAGAAAATGAATCTCGGTGTCTCATGTGGTAGCGTAAAATATTGATGGCTTAGACTAAACAACACAAATGGTTTTATTTTCTTTACTTTTTAAATGTTTCACACTTAAACTAAGAAAATTCTACTGCTCAGTATTAAAAAAAAAAAAAACAACTCCCAAATACTGAGATTGATGATATAATTATTGTTTAAAGGATGGGGGTCAAGGTCAAATCATAAGATGTTTCCAAAATGCAAGTACGCTTTATAAACTATTTCATTCTAATGATAGGGTATTTGTCCATCTTCTGCTGAGCCAAATCACAACCAGAGACAAAAGCTAAGAAGTAATGGGGAAGAGCCTGGATTCCAGGAGCTGCAGTTCAGGAGAAATGAAAAGAAGGAGCAGGTTAAAAACTGTCTGCTTCCAGGGCTACCGTCGCACTTCTCTCATTGTCTTTTGTACTGTAATGGGATGTTGCTTTTAGCATCTACGGTGCACCTGAGAGAGCCTGTTACACAAACACTTGTTGGACACAGTGGTGTGACACGCCATGCTGGGGTTCAGGGGAGAGAGAGATATGTATTTCACCTTCTCAGAGAATGCAGTGTCAATGAGTTCATAAGGCTTTTTACCTCAGATTGATAAAGTAACTGTCCATCCTGAACATTTTTGAAATTTGTATTAGTTCCCTAGGGCTGCCTTACAACAAACCGGGCAGTTTAAAACAACAGAAATTTATTGTTGCACAGTTCTGGAGGCTTGAAGTCCAAAGTCAAGGTGTCAGCCCGACCGCGCTCCCTTTGAAACCTGGAGGGGAATCCTTCTTTGCGTTTTGCTAGCTTCCGGTGGTTGGTCCATGATGTTCAGATGCCCTGGTTTGCAGAGCCACAACTCCAGTCTCTGCCACCGTACATGGCATCCTCCTGGTGTGGCCGTCTTCTTAACAGGACACCGGCCATATGCATTAGGGACCCGCTCTGCCCCAGTGTGACCACATCTTAGCTTAACTACTCACATCTGCAATGACACTGTCTCCAAATAAGATCACATTCCGAGGTCCTGGGGCTTAAGACTCCAACGTATCTTTTGGAGGGGGGACAAAATTCAACCTATAACAGGATTATATATAAAGTAATTGTATGTCAGTAATGCATTTGGGGTTATATATGAAAATGAGATTGTCCCAAGAGGCCGTATCCTCACTGGGGGAAGGTACCACAGCCAAAGTGTAAGGCAGATTAGCATTTTCAGGAGCAACAGCTGTTCCCTTACTATATATCACACATTTCTAAATTCATAGGCTGTCTTGGGGACTTCCCTGGCGGTCCAGTGGTTAAGACTGTGCGCCTCCACTGCATGGGAACTACGAATCCCGCATGCTGCGAGGTGCGGCCAAAAACAAAAAATAAAATAAAAATAAAATCATAGGCTTTCTAGAGATTATTCTGTCAGGTTGTTCACAAACATTTAACATTTCGGGATTGGGATTGCTTTCCAGGAATACTGGAAGCAGCTAGAAGAAATACGCCAACAGTACCACAAGGACGTGAAAGAAATTAGAAAGAAGATGGAGTGTGAACTGGAGGTAAGTAAATTCATTCTACCAAAGGAAGCGTTGCTCTATTGATTCAGAGCTAACTAAACTGAGCAGGTATTAAAAGTAATGCTCTTCTCATCGAAAAGATAAACTTTATCATGCAAACTTTAAGTAGGGAAGCTGTCAGATTTAATGGAAGCCTCACTTTATTATGGTTTACCTGAGGCTGCACAAAGTGATGGGGCTGCCAGTCTCAGTTAAGAGTGGCTGTTATTAAAAGTATGGTTGATCATCTTCCCCATGAATCAGTCAATAAGTATTGACTGAGCAGTACTTTACTCGGGAACTGGATTAGAGGCAGGAAGTTCATGCCCGTTGGGTAGGAAAAGAGACGAGCATTTATTGAATTCAGCTATACTGGAATAGTCTCATATGCAGGGGTAAGATTTGAAAGTCCATATAAGGCAACATCTGAGTGCAGCGGAGATGATTTTTGAAAAATTCCTTGAAGGCGCCACCCTGGAAACTCATTCTTCCAATTCTCAGATCATTGCTTTTTCAGTAGAGCTCCAGATGAGATAGCTGGCCCGTGTCTGGAGACCACACTGCATGAAAAACACCCCCATGTTTAATTAGAAACACCCTCAGCGCCCGGGAATGTTCCTCCTATGATGGGCTGGTGGGCACCAAGAGCAGCCGAGGACACAGCCGGCCTCTCCTCTCACACGCACTTGAACTACACACTCATTGTGTAGAACCTGCCCGCACTACTGAAATTGATCTTTCTCTCTCACCCTGCCCCACCCCTGAGGGCATACAGACAACTAATATAGGTGAAATGAACATATGGTGCAATTCAATTGTATGCTCTGTGCTCTGAACTAGAGCTTTCACATACATATCTCCTTTACTTATAGCAGAAGTTAAATAAATCACCCAAAGTCACTTAGATATTACAAGGCAGACTAAATAAATACCTGATTCTAAAACCTCTACTCTTTCTAAATAGTTAAATAAATAGTTGGAAAGATATGAAGCAGTGATCCAATAAGCCAGAATCTGGTTAAGCCCTGTGAGTGCATGGGAGTGAAGATGAGTGGTACAGGCAGGTGGAGGATTTTTCTGGAAGAAGAGAGATGGGGCCAAAACTGGGTCTGAGACGAAGAGTAGAATTTGGAGAGGCAGAGCTAAGGAAGAGGGCATCCGAAGGAACCCCGCAAAGCCCCATGGCCAATGCCATGGGAGGGGCAGGCTGGATGTGCTTCTCCCCAGAGCAGAGGTCTGATTAATGGTGGGGAGCCTCGTGCCATCATCAGCCCCATTTTTAAGACAGGTCTGCGATGGGAAGCCTGCGTCCAGGAAAGATGGACGGCAGAGAGAGGCAGAGAGAGACCAGGAGGGAAGCACTTGGGGGGATACCAAAGGGAGCCGTAGAGAAAAGAAGCCATAAGAGAGCTCCCTCCAGCCATGTCCTCATTAGATCCCGTTCAGGTCTAGCGGGGGACATTCAGAAAGTGGCCTTCAGAACTGATGCAGAGCCAATCTTGTTGACTGTGTATAATTTATGTTGAAGGAAGACTCAAAAATAAGTCGTAAAACATATTTGGTGAAGAGCGACCTGCTCATCCACCAGGAGGCACCTGAGGAAGGAGCACCTGCGCAGGTGATGGTTGTTGTTGGACTCCCAGGGAGTTCGCTCCAGCCCGCTGTTCCTGCCCCTCCCTGTGCAGTAGAACCATGTGGGAAAGTTTTAAAAAACGGAAACAGGGACGTCCCCTGGCAGTCCAGTGGTTAAGACTCCGTGTTTCCACTGCAGGGGGCACGGGTCTGATCCCTGATGGGGGAACTAAGATCCCGCGTGCTGCGCGCCGCGGCCCAAAACAAAACAAAACGACAACAAAAAAACAAAGTCAAAACACCTGGGCTCCAAATGGCCTGGAGTGGGGCCAGGTGTCCCGTTTTCAAGAGCTAACTGGTGAGCTGGTGCGGCCAAGTTTGAGAGCTGCCTGCGGGAACGTCCTCTGGTGGCGTTTGAGTCCGAGCCTCGGACTCGTCGGTCTGTGAATCTGACGGTTAATTTCTCTTCTGTTTCAAACTTACCTTTTTGGCATGAATAGGGAACCGGGCAGAGCTGAGTAATCAAATGGCTCTCAAAAGACTCTTCTTTTCCTTCTGGGAGGTCTTTCCCGTTCATCCTCAAGGTGCCCCGAGGGGGCTCGACTGAGGGTAGGTCAGAGGAACCCATGCTGAGCGAAGGCTGAACCTCCTCCCTGAGTGTTTTGCTTTGTGAAAACCTGGAGACCTTCACAGGAGGCGGTGCCGAGAGCTCTAAAGTGGACTGAGGTTGAATTTTCCACCCAGTGGGGTGGATGGGGCTTAGGGGTCTAATGTAGTTGTATTTTAAGGGAAATAAAGCAATATGACACTTCTCATGCAATTGAGACAACCAGACTACACAATCAAATCAGACAACCAACCTCACAAATAGAAGTAAGACAGAGTCACGTCCTGTTTCAGAGCGTGTAATATTGCAAGGCAGGAAAACACGCTTTCCACGGCTGCCGGGCAAACGACTGATAAAAATTCAAACTGACAGATGCGGTGTGTGAAGTACCTAGACGAGGCAGTAATTAATTCTAAGGGGGAGGTGAAAGGGACCTAATGTAAAATGGTGGAGAGAAAAGAGCATTTATACACACACACACACACACACACACACACACACACACACACAGAGACTCATAAGTTTCTGGTTCGGAAGGAATAGTACATTTTACCAAGATGGGGAAGAGTGGGGAGCAAGCTTCTGGGGGAAGGGAACTCAAGAGAACCACTTTGGATGTGTTGAGTCAGGAAGGTCTGAGAGATCACATCCCTGCTTCGCTTCGTAGCCTCTGCCCTGCTTTTCCCTCCACCTGGAACACGCTTTCCCCAGACCTTCACAAGCCAAGGTCCAACACCATTCCGGGGCTTAAATCAAATGCCATATAGGCTTTTCCTGTATTACTCTCATCTGCTCTTCATTTCCTATGCTACTACCCTATTTTATTTTCTTGATAACATTTAACACCTTCTGAAATTATGTCATTAGTTCAACTCATTTGTTACCTATCTTACTCCAGTCAAATGTGAGATCCGTGTCAGCAGGGACCTTCTGGTCACGTTCTGCACCAACCCATTGTGTAGGACAGTATCTGGCCCGTAGTGGGTGCTCAGTATGAAACTGTGGAATGAATATTAAAGTGAAGGTGGTACCAAACAGGCAGCCGAATATGTGAGTCTGAAGCTCAGAGGCGAGGAAAGATCAAACCCGAAGAGACACGTATAAGAGTCATTGCGTAAAGATGGCATTTAAATTCATGGGAGTTACTGAGACCCCCGTGTATTAAGGAAGAGAGGGGCAGACGGCCCAGGACTGAACCCCGAGAAAGCTCAGGATTTAAAGTTCACCTCTCGACCGTTCCTTTGAAATGCTTGTCAGTATTTTTACAGTCTTCTCCTCGTTTTCAAATTGCCCATCAATTTTTAGAGCCCCGTCCTTCCTTTATACTGTCATGAGCTGTGCACTTTTTTGTTTTCCTGTTTAAGATCATAAGCCTCTTAACGGAAGGATCTTATGGTCAAAATTACGTCCTTGAATTAGATTAGGTCGTATTGGACTGTGATAAACATTGTCACATTATAGCGTTTTACCTACCCACTGCAATGCCAGTGTTAAATGTATTATTATTTCACGTTAATGGACACTGTGCCCAAGTTGTTAGTGGACTGTTGTTAACTTTCCTTTGCAAGAGGTATGTTTTTATTCTCAAATCAATCATCAGATTCATTCAAGAAATCAAATAACGTAAACAGACCCTGCTGTGAATTCAGGGGGATTGTGAAAATGTAATTGATCAATATTAAATGCTAGATTTTAATTTTTCTCTAAATTTTCAGGATATTGAAAGAGACTTGAAACGAATTGGACTTCAGAACACAAAGGAAAGTAAAATTCCGGAACAAAAACATAAAGCTAAGGTAATAAACATTTTGTCTTAAAGTTTCATTTTAAAAATCTGGCTGGGGATCTGCACCTTGCAATCTGGGTTGCCTCTAGGATTTCACCCCCTACTATTTTATGGAATTGCCTTATTTTGTGATGTTAGACTAATGGTTTTAAGTATCTGTGATGTCAAATTGGGAGTTGTAATTTTAAGGTTTTTATTGGAATGCGAAACAGATTTCTTTTCTTGCTTTCTTCTAGAGAGGGATAAAGTTTGAAATTAATTTAGACAAATGTATTTCTGATGGAGACACCCTCCAAGAGGAAGAGGTATGCCATTAAGTAAAATTGTATTAGTAGGGATGAGAAAATGAGTGTCTTAATAGCATGTTTCATGAACTTTTCCCATAGAGGGTAGGGAGCATTTTCTAAAATCTTCCTAGAAGGATGTCTGGTGTTCAGACAAGTCTTCCAAAATATTTTTTATCCTTCCATTCTTTTTAAACTTGAGATTATTCCTATAGATGGATTATTCCATTTTAATTTATTGTTCTATTATAAAGGAGCTATTTTCCTCATAATACTAACTTTTAAATTATAGCCAGATTTAAAATAGAAGACATAATATATAGTCAACAACTAATACACTCACCTAAAAAATATGTAAATGAGCAGTTATCCTGAAACCATGCACATTTATTTTAGATCTTGATTGGTATTGATAACTTTGTACTGGTCTTTGGGTAAATCTCAATTATGCACTTGGGCTTGAATTGAAACAGCAATAAATGCATGAATACAGTAAACTCAAACCTCATTTTATTACTTGATTTCAACATCTTTTTAAATCCCATTTTTTTACCAGAGCTGCTAACAAGTATCAGAATTAACTGATTTGTGTTTCTGTTTCACCTTCTCCAAGTTTGCCTTTTAAATTACCAAAAGTTAAGTATGAATATGTGTATACATATATATATATATATATATATATAAATTATATACTCAATTTCTTCCTTTCATGTTTTTTCATTGGCTTAAAACTTTTTTTAATGTTATTTCTTTCAGATTTGTGTGTGTGTATGTGGTGAAGGATTCTTTTTTTTTTTTTTTTTGATAGACTTCATGTTGTAGGGTATTTTTAGGTTCATGGCAAAATTTAGCAGAAGGTACAGAGATTTCCCATGGAGCTCCTGTCCCCATCCCCCGGCGCATGCAGCCTTCCCTACCATCAAAATCCCTCACCAGAGTGGAACATTCGTTACAATTGATGAACCTACACTGACACATCATAATCACCCAAAGTACATAGGCTACCTTAGGGTTCACTCATTCTCTGGGTTTTGACAAATGTGTAACGACATGTATCCATCATTATAGAATCATACAGAGTATTTTCACGGCCCTAACAATCCTCTGTGCTCCACCTATCTTTGAGATTTTTATTAGCCTTTTGCTACAAAGACTTCAGTAGAGTGGTGGTAGTTAGCGCTCACTTGTAACCACTAGGCCTTCTAAGTGTCCCAGAGCTGTGAGTACCCGAGGAAGCAGCTCTGGGGACCTGGGTCTGGGTTGGAACCTGAGGGCTGATCCATCCACGGTGCTTCTGTGAAGTGAGGCACTGAAGTTGGCCTGCTAGAAAAACGAATGGACTCCAAACTGTTTTATCTACCAGTTTGTTCATCCTCTGTTACTCTCTGCTTTGATAATGCTTGAAATAGAGCGATCATTTTCATTTTAATTATGGAATATTAGGAGCAGTTTCAGGGCCCTGACTGGGAATGTTAAAGCTTAAAGCAGGCCATAGATGAGCTAACCTTGAAAGTTCCTTAGAGTGGAACTGCAGGAGAATAAGACGGAAGGCAGGAAATCTGCATCAGGTTAGCTGCCCCTTGATCAGTGCTTATCACTGTTGACAGGGAGAAGAAACGAACACATTCCTGCTTCTGTCGTGTTCCAACACAGTTCTAGTTTTAAAACCCTACCGATTCATGTAATAAACATAACGTTGAATACTTACTGCATACCTTGGTAAATGTTGTTACTGGGAACATGAAATAATTTTCAAACTTTTTTCCCCCAAAATATGGCTTATTTCTATGAAACACCATGAAATTGCTTTAGGCAATGGATATACTGAATGAAACTTTGACCTCTGAGGACGGCGTTAAGTTTAAGGGGTATAAATGTATAAAGGAGCATGAAGATTATACAGACAAAGCATTTGAAAAACTCTGTTGCCGGGAAGCAGGTGTGTGTCCCTTCAAAGCTGCAGATGAGAAGGAAACATTTTATTGGCAGTCATCTCGAATTCTCGCCTCCCGTGATTTGACTGTCCCCTACCCCCCACCTCATCCTGAACTGGACGGAGACCTGGCCCCTCTGACTCTGCCCACCCAGGGGTCACACCCCCTGAGACCCACCCTCCTCTCTGCCCCACACGGTCTCCTGGGGCTGTTTCACCTGCCCCCTCAGCTTCCGCGTCTCCCGGTCCACACTCACCCATCTTTCTCAGGATCTGCTGGATGGCTCCATGGACAAGTCCCACTAGCATCTCAGACTCGGCGTGTGTACAATCCAGCTTCTGAGCCCTTTCTTCCCAGGGAGGCTTTATTTCCGGTGATGCCCTCACCAGGCCGACAGCCCTGCTGTCATGCCTGGTGGCTTCTACTCTGAGATGTCCCTGAGTCGTCTCCTCTTTCATTCCCTCTGCCCTGTCCTGTCTCAGCGGTGCGTGTGGTAGGAAACACATGGGCTTTGGAGACCGTACGGAGTTCGAATCCCAGGTGGTGCTGCCACTTCCTGATTGTGTGCCCTTTCACAAGTTACTTCAGATCTCTGAATCTCAGTTTCCTCTTAAGAGTGAGGAGAATAGTACTTGCCACACAGGCTTATTGTGGGGACTAAAGTGAAAATTGCTATATTAGGTGCTTAATTTAATATCTGCTCTTCCCTTAATTTTCCCTTTCCCTTCCCCTCACTGAATTGCTTTAGTCTCCTATGCATCCTCCCTTTCTCTAGTATTTCCCCTTCATTCTCTAAGTAATTGCTACAGTCATCTTGTCATATTATTATCCTACTCAAATTTTTTTTGATAATGCCTGTAGGATACAGTCTGTTGCACATAGTATCACATTTAACACTGCGTGGCGTGATCCTGTGGTGACCCCCCCTTTCCTGCCCCATCACCCCCTCTCTCTTTCCACAGATGATGGGATCCACACAGCCTGCTGGAGCCCCATCTTCCCTTGCAGCTATGTGAGCATTCGCACACCCTGGCTCGCCTCCGTTTCCTCTTCCTGGAATCATACACTTTGCTTCATTTCTACCTGGAAAAATCTTTATTCAATTCAGCAGGCATCTTGTGGAGAATCTCCCTTCTGCCAGACTGTGCTAGGTGGGAGGGACCTCGGAGATGAATGAAACCTGGGTCTGCCCTCAGAATTACAGAATTGTCATGAGCCAAAGAAAGGAAGCACAAAACTTGCTTTCTGAGCCCCAGTACTAATCATTGTTCAAGTGCCAGCTGGCTGGAGAGTCAGGGGGCTACCTCTCCTACAGAGCTTGGCATTCCAGGGAGCTTGGGCTTTATCCTGTGTGATGACTTTCAATCAAAGGGAATTAAATGTTATTCGTGATGGAGAAAGATCACGCTGGCTGCCATGTGAAGGATGCGTGGAGGGGCAGGCCTGAGGGCAGGAGACTGGTCCAGGTGGGAAATGACAGGTGCACAGGGCAGGGCAGTGCAGTGACAATAGACACCAGGTGTGAACTGCTGAGTGTGGGGACTGAAGAAGAGAAGAGGGTCCCAGTCTTCTAATTCAGATGGACAAGGCTATCACCAGCCAAACAGGTGCATACGTCACGCAGAGGGAGGTCAGTAGAGATAACGTAATGGTTTAAATTTGTAACATATCGAGTTTAGGTCTTTCTGATCATCAGCTGGAGGTGTTTAGAAGGTGATAGCTGAGTAAGACCAAAACTCTGGGGCAAATCAGGGCTTCCTTAGCATATGAACAGTATTTCAACCTTGATGGTGGTGGAAAACACCTAGGCACAGGGACTGGAGTGAGAAGGAAATGGAGCTTAGGACAGGCGCTTGTATTGTTTAAACAAGTTTTGGGAGAATCAGAAGAGAGTGAAGCCAAAGAAGGAGAGAAGGTTCTGGAAGGAGCCTCAGAGCTTGGCAGTATCAACTGGAAGAGAAAGACCAAGTGAGGCAGGTTGAGTAACAGCCCACAGGGTTCGGTTATCAAGGGCCCTGAGTGGCCTCAGTGTAAGCAATTCCAGCGAAAAGAATCAAATCAAAGGTTATTCCTTGCGTGAGTTCTCTGGGAAGAGAAGAGAGTGAATTATAAGTCTCAAAAGACATGGCTGCTTTTTTTTAGATTTTTTTAAAAAAAACACTTCATTAGTTTGATGCTGAAAACTGGGCTCCCGTAATTACTATTCAGGCTGAACAATTTCCCATATGTTTATTGACATCTGTATTTCTCTTGTGAATGATGTGCTCACATCCTTTATCCATTTTTCTACTGAAAATGGCATGTTTGTTTTTTTCTTTATAAGACTCATTTAAATTGAACCTTTGCCTGAAATACGTATTGCAAATAGTTTCCCCAGTTGGTCTTTAGATCTCATTTACAGTAACAACAGGAAATATGTGTGAGAGTGTGTGTGTGTGTATGTGTGTGTGTGTGTACATATAACTTGGGAATTAACTTTATAAGAATCGTGCAGAGCATATGAAGGAAACTATAAAACCTTACTGAGGTATTTAAAGATTATTTGAATAAATGTAGAGAAATAACACCGTTATATATTGGAAATATTCATTCCAAATAAATATATGGATTTTTGGCAATTTCAATCAAAAGCACAATAGGATTTTTTTCTGGTGTGAGGAGATCTTGGAGATTCTTAACTAGCCAAAAAATTTAGAAAAGAAGAGCATTGAGGGGCACTTGCCCTTCCAAATATCAAACTGTATTATATAAATTATAGTCATTAAAACAATGTGATACTAGCACCAGAATAAAAAAAGTAATGAAAAAAGAGAAGGTTTAGGAACAAACTCTAGTATGTATCATAATTTAGCATATGCTAAAAGTCCCATCATAAGTCAATGGGAAAAGAAAGAATTACTCAAATAATTGAGTTACTCAAATAAGAATTACTCAAATAATTGGTCCTAGTTGCTCTAGGACCAACTGGTTAACAATTTGGGGGAAACTGTGAAATCAGACCGTATATAATGATACAACAAAATAAATTCCAAAATAAAATCAAAGAGTTTATATGTAAAAACATGAAGTTATATGTCAGAAAATTAAGTGAAAGAAAATATAGGTGAGTATTTTCCTTTGGCTAGGGAAGAATTAGCTATTCAAAATACATAAAAAAATCACAGAATAAATTAGTAATAGGTTCAGCTTTAACAATGAAAGCCTTTGGTAAAGAAAATAGTATAATACTAGCCCCTAGAATTGTCATCTTCAGTAGTTTACCTAGGGAAAATAATCATAAATGTCAAAAAAATTAACTACAAATGAATTCATTAAAGTGTTGTCTATAATAGTAAAAAATTCTAGCAATCTAAAAATCCAGCAAAAAAGGATTAGTTAAGTTATAATATATCCATGAAACAGAATACCATGTTTTCTTTAAAATGGTGGTGTAGAACAATATTTAATAACACAGATACGGTATGTTGCTAATTGAAAAGAGCAAGTTATAAAAGGGTGTGTAATATTTGGCCCATTTTTTGTTTCAAAACGAAGGAAATCTTGAAATTTTAGGTCTCTGGAGAGTGGGATTGTGGTAATTTTTGTTTCCTTCTTATCTGATCTCCAGAGTTCTTATAATGAAACATACTAATATATAAAGAAAATGATAACAAGTTATTTTTTAAATTAAGGTAATGGAACAGTTGCATTTCTGTGGAACCTAAGGTTCACATACATGCAATGGACAAAAGAATTTGTCCATTCATGCCGTTAATATTTCTTTAGCGTTAAATACATTGGCTCGTCAGTCAAATGTTAATAATAAAAGTGAAACAGTTTTAAACCTGTTTATAATTTCAGTCTTCTAAGTTATGATCTACCTATGTCTTAGTCCATTCAGGCCACTGTAACAAAATACCATAAACTGGGAGACTTATAAACAACATTTATTTTGCACAGTTCTGGAGGCTGGAAAGTCCAAGACCATAATGCTGGCAGATTCAGGGTCTGGTGAGGGCCCGATTCCATCTTTTTGCTGTGTCCTCACTTAGCGGAAAAGATGAGGGAGCTCTCTGAGGTCTGTTTCATAGGAGCATTAATCCTATTCATGAGGCTCCACCCTCATGACCTAATCACCTCTCCACAGCCCCTCCTCCTAATACCATCACACTGGGCATTAAGTTTCAGCATATGAATTCGGGGGGCACACAAACATTCGGTCCATAGCAATCTGTATTAGATTGAGGGTGGTGATTTCTCTGCTTTTGAAGGTACCAGCTGATGGACTCCAGGTTTCCTAAGAACTATTTCTTGCAGTTAGTCACACTTTGACTGCTTTGACATCAACGAGTTATTTCCTTATACCCAGGGCTGTTCATTCTAGATGCTGCCGCTGCAGAGGACAGGAGACAGTGGGATGCTGGGTCTCCTCAGACTCTGCTGCAAATAATGGCCGCGGCCGACATCACCTCCACCAGCTCCACTGTGCCTGAGGGTGAAGCTGACATCAGTGGCACAAATTGTCAGCAAGAGGAGAGCGAGGCCCCAAAAGCAGCTGTGTTCACCCCAAATGCTTGTGCTCACCCTGACTTGACAGTTCTCAGTTTTCAGTACAATCCCGATAGATTTGTATTAAATGCCTTTCAAAGATTTTGTTTTGGTTTCTCCCCTACCTCTGCAGAGACTTGCCTACTAATTATTCTAGACAATTGGCCACTGTAGCTATGAGAATGTAAAGGAAGAAAGATCCGGGTTCCCACCTTCCTCCCAAGGAGGGACAGGTGGCTTCATTTGCCTTCCCGTGCTAGCCTAATAACTCCCTTGCAGTTTCTTAGAGGGTCGTTTTTTTCCTCAGTAACATCAGAACTGAAATATTAGCCGTCCCACAAGATTTAGAGAGCCAGTGCAAAGATACATATTAGCTTGCTTTGCAAACCAAAGTGCTATTTCCATGTTAGCAGTGTTTAGGATATGATGATATTTTCAAGCTAAATTCTTCCATTTTCATTTGGGCTTCTGGCATGGTCTTTCCTTAGCAGAGAGTCGCAGCAATATCTGGGTGTGATCTTACAGGTGGTGGAGATTTTTATCGCTTATTTCCTATGTTCTTCTTGCTAACATGGGGCTGGGGGAGAGCTAAAATTTATACCCATCTTATAAGTTGAAGTCTGTAAGTATATCACTGAGATTAGTAATTAAAAGTGTGTGAATTGACCCATATTTATACTATTACAAAATATATTGCATATCATCAAATTTATAAGAAAGGGCTTGCAAACATAATGCAATTTAATCCATCCTAAGCCAATGAGACAGTAAGAGGGGAAACCTAATTTAAAATAAATAGAAATGTCAACACACCAAAACAGCTAGTTTACAGGGCAAAAAATGACTCTCCTGCCCAACAGTACATGATAATATTGTCACTAAACTTTTCTGTAGCTCAGCTTCCTTGCTAATAAAATGAGGGGTGGGATTAGGTGACCTCCAAGGATCTCACATTCTGTGATTTTATAAAAAAATGAAGAAGCATTTTTAGTTTCTATAATCCAGGCTCCTTTTCAGACGGCCGAGTGAGTGTGATTGAAGGCATTCCAGAAAACAGGAAACAGTGGCGGCTTGAAACGCCGGGAACTTTAATGAGTGTTTTGACAGCAGCACATCTAACAAATAGCTCATTTTCTGCCAACGATGGAGAATTTGGTATGTAGTTAACTTTTAAGAACACAGTCCCCTGTGGAATTTTGTCAGAGGTGTAAATGCAGAATGGGGATAAAAATAGCCTGGAGAGAGAATTGGGAGGGTGTCTAAGCCTTTTCAGAAGCTGATTTGCTTTGTCCAAGCCTGTTCCAAATGCCATTAACAAAAGACTTGAATTTCTGAGAAAAGTAGGATCATTTTCTGTAATGTGATGGGTTGACAAGTGATGAAAAGTTAGGTAGGAAGGACCAGTGGATTTGTGGGTGATGAGCTAGTGCTTAGTGCTACCTCAAAGAGTCCGTTTATTCTGACAGCTCTTAGCAGACTCAAATCACCATCCTGTGGGCCGTAAAATACATCTTAATATAGTTTTTTTTGGCTTTGGGTTTTTCTTGCCTCCAATGTTTAGCAAGATTATGCTGCTGTTGACTTTAAGGGAAACCAACCATTACTTTCTAAAGTTCGAGGGAATTCCTATCACTGGGGGTTTGGTCGTCCACTGTGTGTGCAGGTGTAAACTGCTACGAGCAAAGCCATTTGGGGCAGGCAGGTATCAAACAAAGAACACCTGCGCAGGGGCGAGGTTTCAGGGCTGGGGTTGCTGAGATGCGAGGCTGAGGCGGAGCAGAGGCCTGGTTAGAAACCTGATAGTGATGCGTGCTTACAAAGTTAAACAACAATGAGAATAATGCAAGAGTCGTACCGACTGTTTCTGAAGAGTGAGTCTGCCCGTTTGTGAAGCTCAAGAAAAGGGGAATATTTGTGAAACGTGAGTCTTAAGGAATGGACAGCATTTTATTGAGGAAAGAATATTTCAGGTGGGGAGAACTTGAAGATCCACAGGCCTGAGAGACTGAGAAAGACGGTATGAGGAAAATCTAGGTGCCGGAGAAGGGACCAGGGTCCCTGAGTAGATGAAGTCCTTCGGTGTTATTGCTACCACACTTAAAACTCAAGGCGGGGGTGGCAGTGCAGTGGGGAGACAGAAAATGCCTCCCTGCCTTCAAGGCTCTCTTTCAAGTACCTTCAAACCGCAGACGGCAGTGTGATAGCATGTCTGCTCCCTCCCCTTCTATCCTGGGGTAGAAACATCATCTGTAAGGATGGGGCTGGGGGCCGGTGGGGAAGGAGTTTTGGGCTGGCCTGGCTTGGCCTGGAGGCCAAGGGCTGGGGCCACAGACCAGGTAGGAGGGGGGCGCCCATCTTTCAGGACACTGCGATGGTGACATACTGGTGACTATGATGTGTCTTCTTGGGTTTGTTCCTGTGCTTCTTGGAGAGAGTCATAGAAAACTTCATTTGATCTTGCATACCAAATTAATTAATTCATGAACTCACTGCATTTTCGAATCGATGGCTTTACATTAGGCATATGTGAGTAATTTAATCTAACAAGTGGGATTAAACATAGGAACTTGCCTCTAAGGGTAGCATTCAAAGCAAAATGTAGGTATTTTCTTTTGTAACCTGCTAAAGGTGCAGGCATCCCCTCCCACCCCAGCTGTGCTTTCTCTGCTCTTTCAGCCTCTAACTCTGTTGTTGGCCTCACCCCATCTTTCCCATCCCTGTAGCAAGCTTCACTTCCTGTCTCTGGTCATCTCTTCTTTCTTAACTCTCCCTCTGCACCCCTGCCAGATAATCCTAAAAATCCTTTTAAATCCTGCAAAAGATTCTCCCATACCCTCAGGATAGAATCCAGACTCCGCAGACTCTAAGTGCCTTAAAGGTCGGATGGCCTCTCCCCGCACCAGGTCTGCTAGCACTTCTCCATCAGCAAATATTTCTCCCTCAGTTTAGAAAGGTGAGGCTTTCTAAAGACCCCTCCCTTTGCCAAAGTAATTCCTCCTGTAAGATTTCACTCTGATGCCACCTCCCGGCCATTTCTGATGTTTTATCAGCAGATACCCTTCCCTCCCTGCTTTTCGCTATATTGCCGAACAGGGCTTTACAAAGGTGTCTGGAATATAGGAGATTCTTAATCAGTTAATAATTGGAATGAATGAGTGGAAGAACCTGTAACTTGATTGACATGCTTCCCTTTAATCCAAAAAATTCTAATAAGCTTTCTGTAAATTCTCAAGTTTGTCTACGGTCTCTCTGTCTTTGCTCTGTTAGTTGCCTCTAACAATTTCACATTAATCCAGTCTCATACTCAAATTCGTTCACACTCAAATATTGGTTAAAGGCATGAAAGACATTTCCTTATTATGTTTATCATTTAAATTCAGGGCATAAAAAGATGCAGTAGCAATTTTACTTGAAATTTTAGTGATTGCTATGAAAAACCTGGATCTCAAACTACTGCCTGTGTACCACTGACACGGAACCCCTGGTTTTTTGTTTGTTTTTATAAATTTCTTTATTTATTTTTGGCTGCATTGGGTGTTCGTTGCTGTGCGCGGGCTTTCTCTAGTTGGCGGCAAGTGGGGGCTACTCTTTGCTGTGTTGTGCGGGCTTCTCATTGCGGTGGCTTCTCTTTGCGGTGGCTTCTCTTGTGGAGTATGGGCTCTAGGTGGGCAGGCTTCATCAGTAGTTGTGGCTCGCGGGCTCAGTAGTTGTGGCTCATGGGCTCTAGAGCTCAGGCTCAGTAGTTGGGGTGCACGGGCCCAGCTGCTCCGTGGTATGTGGGACCCTCTGGGACCAGGGCTCGAACCCATGTCCCCTGCATTGGCAGGCAGATTCTTAACCACTGCACCACCAGGGAAGCCTGGAACCACTGTGTTTTGTTTTTGTTTTTGTTTTTTTGGGATTGAAACACCTCCCTGCCGTGGAAGCCCGAGTTTTAACACTGGACCATCAGGAAGTCCCCCAGGAACCACTGTTTCAAATGCCTGAGAAAACATCAGGGCACGTCTCCTTTGCATTCCTCTAAGTTTGGTTTCCCTGCTTAATATCCCACAAGACACTGTAATTCTCTGATCATAAAAGTAAAGTTCACTTTAGTTTCCTGTTTAATATCTTTCTTCCTCACTAGACTATAAGCTTCTGAGAGCTTTGTCTTGATCACCACCCCACTTGGCCTCTCCATCCCTAGCACCTAGTATGATGCCCAGAACTTAGTAAGTCACCATGTCTTTGTGAATGAAAATACAGCCATAGCACGTTTTTACTATCACTTTATGTAAAGGCATGGGATTGCCAATATTTGTTTTGCTATCAAGTTGGATAAGGAAATTACAATGCTAATTATTCTTACAGCTCTATGGAGTCTTTGTAAAGACTTTCTGCATGTGTAAATTTTAATAACTTTGATTACAGGTGTAATAGACACAATTTATAAAGGCATTTAAGGATTCGTTGTTGTACATTTATTTAAGCATGATTCATATATCGTTTGTCAGTCTTTAGCTTAAATATCCAACTCCTTGAAGATAAATTCCTTTGATGTTTCTAGCTCTAAATTCCATTTGAAAATGAGGGTTTGGACTTTCCTCAGTGGTTAAGAATGGTTAAGAACTGTGGTTAAGAATCTGGTGCAGTGGTTAAGAATCTGCCTGCCAATGCAGGGGACACGGGTTTGAGCCCTGGTCCGGGAAGATCCCACATGCCATGGAGCAACTAAGCCCATGTGCCACAACTACTGAGCCTGCGTTCTAGAACTCGCGAGCCACAACTAGTGAGCCTGTGCGCCACAACTACTGAGCCCGCATGCCACTACTGAAGCCTGCCCACCTAGAGCCCGTGCTCCGCAACAAGAGAAGTCACTGTAATGAGAAGCCCGTGCACCGCAACGAAGAGTAGCCCCAGCTCTCCGCCGCTAGAGAAAGCCCGCGCACAGCAACGAAGACCCAATGCAAAATAAATAAATAAATAAAATTAATTAATTAAAAATAAATAAATAAAAATGTGGGTTTATCAAGTACATGTTTAATTTGTGCTAATTTTAAAAAGTTTGAAATAGCAAGACTACAAAATCCTTTTAAATGAATCTAACTAGTAAGAGTGGCACTCTTTCAAAGAGAAGTATGTTTTTACATGTGCATAATTAATTCAGGTCACTAATTTTGTTTATAGTTTAACCACTCCAAGGGAATCCTTGGTGGGAAGGTAACCTCTATTTTTCTAGTGTAAGTTTTCGGGCCACACAGTTGCCTTGGTAACATCATAGTTGCACATCCTGATAACAGCTGATTTACATTTCTGTAGTTAGCCGTTCATTCTTTCTTCTATCCTGTTAAACAAAAATAAGAGCCTCCTAAAATTGTCTTCCTAAGACAGGAAAATAAAAACTGTCAGATTCCCACACCAGGAGGAATATACTCTGGCTTGCTTTTAATTAGCCAGACTACCTCATAGATGAGATATATCAATCTGTTTCATTTGTTTAATGCGCTTTAGGAAGTAACACGGGCTATGATTTGGGATGAAATATGTTGATTTAAATAGTTAAATGTAAGTGTGGTGAGATTTCTACTTGTGTGTACATGAGCAGTCATGTAACAGTTTACCGAAAAAAATAAAAAATAAAAAAAGCCACACTTTGCTCTTAATTCCACCTTTGGAGGAAAGTTCCTATTTTTAATCCCACTTGCTAACAGAGGGTAGGGATTTTTTTTTTTTCCTGGAGACTAAAGAGAAATACTCTTTAGACACCTAGGAACCAGATGGTTGTACAGTTTGTGTGGGAAAGGTATGTTATGATAGATTACAAACATGAGCATAGTCCTTCACTCTTCCCTGTATCCATGCCCTTTGCAGTATGACTTTGCAGCTCCTCTGTCATTAAATGTTTTTCTTCCCCTCTTCCCTTGAGTCTTGACTGGCCTTGTGATTTGCTTAGGCCAGTAGAATGCACCGGAAGTGATGGTGTGGCAAATCTGAGTATTTAAGGAGCTTCTGCTCTTTCTTTTGGAATCCTGTCCATCTCTCAACTAGCTCCAGTTGCTCTGCTGGAAAATGAGGGACCGTGTGGAACAGAGAGACAAGCCATCCCAAGTGAAGCCGTGCTAGACCAGCCAACCTCCAGGTGGCCAGGCAAGTGACTGCAGATGCCATGAGGGGCCCAGCTGAGACTGGAAGCGCCGACCAGCTGAGCCCAAACCAAATCGCCCAACTGCAGAATTGTGACCTATATAAATGGTTACTGTTTTAAGCCACTAAGTTATGTGGTGGTTTATTATTCTGGAACAGCTAACTATTGTAGACATACTTAGCAAAATTCCTAAAGTGGTAGTTGAAAGTAGGCTAGCTCTACATAATTTTAAAGCCAACTTAAGAAACCAGCATTTTTAATTCTCTGTGAATTCTTTTAGTTCTTTTGTGGATTCTTTTAAGAAAATCTGTCTCAACAATGTTCTTGATTGCACCAAGGTTGACATTTTG